ACCCGCATTTGTGATCCGTAACCCACGAAGACGACGATCCAAAAAAACACACTCTGCAACCCACGACGACAACGAGCTGACAATAGCGTCGGCGGCAGTGTGTATGAGCGGTCGGCGATGGCGAAAGTGGGTGGCAGCGGTCGGCGACGGCAAAAGTGGGTGGGTAAGGGTTTCAACCTCTTGGCTCTGATACCATCTCAAATTTGGGAGAGAAAAAATAATTATTTCTCATATATATTTTAATAATAAAACCCTAAGTCACCTTGAGTAGAGGTGAGAAACAAGTCAAAATAAAATCTATCACAATAATCTACTAATTACAAATAATAAAAGAAAAATAATAAATAAGTATTTACAGTAACTATTTACTAAAAACACCATAAAAACAACACTATTATTTGTAAAGTTTGGTTTGGACACAATCAAATGATTTTTTAAGACGAGTTCAACACTTGGAGTGAGTGTTTTGACTTAGTCATTCAATGGTATTCTTCATCTAAGCTTTTTGCTAATTACTCTGTTGATGATATTTGTTCCAGCTGGGATCTTTAATTTTTGTTAATTAGTTTCTTTTCCATCTCCCTTTTACTCTATTGGTAACCTGTTTCCTTGAACATTCACTGAAGAGTTCCTTTGTTGTTCAAATACAAGATTCTACGTGCATTAATAGGTGGAACAGTAAATTGCTAAACAAATTATTAGCTTGAAAACTTGACGTATAAACGAAGTGAACCTTTCACCTGATATAATAATTTTAGTTTCCCAAGAGATGTTTGACTTCTGAGTAGATATTGAGCACGTGCAAGAGCTTCAAATCCTTGAGACACCATGTTCTTCTCAAAACCAATCTTTGCAATTGCACACTTCAAGAAAGCACCTAATATAAGAATAGGATGTATAACAATACTAACATAAGAATGGGGTGTTTCAAGAGTTCTGGCCTACTGTCCATAACAACATACCTCCGCTAAGGCCATGGAAAGCAGTATGTCATGGATATAAGGCTTAGCCATCGGACATTGAACAACTGTTTGTCCAATGTCAAGCACAATTTTTGCTTCTCCGACCTAAAAAATAGGGAAAATAAAAATCACGATCCTTATCTTTCATCTAAAACCTTTTTTCATTTTATCTCACTCCAAGATGAAAAGAAATAGAATGAAAGAGCCTCAACCTCTGTAAAGTTCAACTAATGTCAGCCTAAGAAAGATTTAGCAATTAAAAAGAGGTTGCAAATTTAACAAACAAAAGAAATCAAACTCTAAGGGAAAAATATAATTACTCAAAAATGCACCCTATATTATAACAAAACTAAATCTGAAGTGTATAAATATGAATTTATTTTATAGAAAAAAAAAACAGTAAAATAATTTGTATTTCTCGAGACAGCAATTTTATTATGAATGTTGAACTACCTCTTGAAGAAGGCAAAGAGCACCTGGCAACCAAGCCCAAGGAACTCGAATGGAAGACTTAGGTGGGATGTTTTCCTTCATATTACCAGCATAATGTGGTTCAAATAGAAGCTTATCTCTCACATCCATTAAAAGATCCTGCAAATTATACCAAAATAACATTATCTCAATATAAACATATACATATTTCTTCTGTTTCTTTTTTTTTCTTTTTTTTCTCTTTTTTTTTAATAAAAACTGAGCTTACAATAAGACAAATGAAAGAGAACAAGGAAGGCATCCAAAAAAACAGCCCAACAACAAGAGCCAAACTAAAAGAACGAGCTCCAAATAAAGCAAGATGCATCCTAAGGAGTAGTTACAAAAAGCTCTAGATATTAAGGCCCAAAGAGATACACGATATCTAACAAGTACAACTAAATATGTTCCTTCAAGTATAAAAGTATTAGCAGGTGAAAAATAAATAAATAAGAAAGTAGCTAGCTACCAAGGAAGAAAAAAGCTGGTATCTCAAAATCTATACAGACAAGATAAAGTGATGTAGACATTAGAGACTTGATTGTAAATTAATGTGATTAGTTTTCCTGAGTTAATTAGTTAGTTTTCTGTTAGTTGTTAGGATTTAGGATAGCTAGTTTGTTAGGGTAATTTGTAGTAACCTAAGCCCTCCCGTAGCCAAACATATTCCTGATAACTTTATGATATCTTATCACATTTCTCATCAGAAAGAAAAACAAAGCCTTCCCGAAGCCAAACCTATATATAATGGTTGTGGCTCCCCAGTTGTATTTATAGTTAATAAAAGAAGGAGCTGCTTCTTGCTTACCCCCCTTGCACCAAGTGGCTGCCTGAGAAAATGGCAGTAAATAAAATTTTGTGTATAACAGACACTGAAAGTTCCTTCTCCAGTGGGCTTCAAACGGCTATGCTTGACCTTCAACACCACAGCCTCTCATTAGAGAATCAACTGAATTGAACGGCTAACAAGAAACGAGCCATGGAAGGCTGCAGCAAGTTACCCAAGGAATTTTCCAGCAATTGACTAGCCTTAGTACTACTGGCAATAAAATAAAAGAAAAATTTGAGGAAGAAGGAAATGTAGAAAGACCACCTAGAATGTTCAAAAGATGGCATAGAAAAGGTAGCAAAAGGAACAAAGGGAATTGAAGGCCAAAACAATTTACAAAATTAAACAAGAAAATGATTATGATTCTACCTTAAAGAGGTACCAATTTAACCAAGGAAGACAGTTCGGATTAAAAAGATCGCTATAGAACCAAGACTTGCCAATGAACAGAAGGGAGATGAAAGATCACAAAATTAAAATTTACTACTATATTTTGATGGGCGATGAAACAAGGAGGAATTTTTGAATTCACTGTTGCAAGTGGATGGTTCTTTCCAGTACAGTCTTTTTATCTTTTGGTAAGAAACAATTTTATAGATAGTATGAAATTAGAAAAAAAAGGGAGGGAAGACAAAGAAGTCACAAAAAATATATATATATTCTTCTAGTTGGCACAAAGAGTTAAGAGTAACAGAATTGAAGGGGGTCAAAATTTACACCAAAAAAGAGCTACAAAAAGAACGTGATCCAAAAAAATTAGAAAAGGTTTTTCTTTGTTTCTCTCATGCCACAAAAGCCTTGTGCCATAATAAATTGAAGCCACATAAACAGATTTTTATTTTTTTAAAAAGGATGGAAATTCATGAAAGAAGGCTGGTAATGTTGTTGGGCAGAGCCACCTGCCAACCAAAACTGTTAAAAGAAGGCACCGTGCTTTTCCACCAAAGGAACAAGTATGAAAAGGTGGTCTTGGGATTTTGAACTTCTATCACACATGGAGCACCAACCCAGAGAAATGCGAGGGGGTCTCTTCTGAATAACATCATGAATGCCAAATACTGTCTTTTTTGATGAATAATGCTAATACCTTCTTAAGCAAGTTCCAAAAAAAGAAAATGACTTTTTTGATTACTTAGTGATTATCACACCAAACTGAGGAGAAGAGAAAGTGATGTTCCAAGCTTCCTTTATCCACGATATCCATGAATATGGAGTGGCAATAAAAGTATCTTATTGTAAAGGCCCGAGCAATTTACCTAAGTTTAGGGCAAAAAAAAATGAGTCTTTTTCGTAAAGGCTAGTGCAACTTCCAGAGAAAAAGAGAGAAGTATCGAGCACATGGACTATACCTGAGTTCATATTTGTGAAATTGATATTCTACAAAGGGTGGTGGAGCAGCAACTTGGTGGGATTAAGTCTCTGGCTAACAGACGATGCCTAGGAAAACAAGGATTAAATCCTAGCCCAAAACTATGAGATTATTAAATCGACCCTTCTTATCCATCAATTACCAGTAGGGAGATCGATAGTTGGATGCTCACACAAAATAATATTGTTTCAATTTAATCCAAGAGATGGTTTGTCATATATCCGCAATTTTAAGAGCCCTTGTTTTATCCACTCTTAGCTTAACTAAGGAACTTTCCATCATATAGAGGCTTTCACTACCTTGGTGAAACCACCAACCGACAACTTTGTAGCCCTAGTGACAACCGACTAAAGTAACAGAAAAAAGAGTTTTGGTTTCCCTTTTCACAAAATAAGAATCTCAAACCTCTTATCTTCATCAAAGGAAATTTCGAAGATTTTTTTCCAATCATATGAAACTACCAGCCATGATAACAAGACAATTCTTCAAATCTAAACCTAATATGAGCAAAAATATATTATAGAATCAACAAGGTACTTCAAAAAGTCAACATAAAGTCCCAACCTGGCGAGATGCAATAGCATCAATGGAGTAACCTTCTTCAATTTCAGAATTTCTTAAATCCATTACTGATTTAACAATCTCATCTTTTTCAGATTGATCTGGAACACCAATAAGCTGCACAGTGAATATTTGTATCATATAAATAAGTGCAAATATAACACAAAAGGTGAGTTGATAATATAATGATGAAGACTCAAATTGAGAGAGAATTTAGAAATATTTCATTAGCCTTCAAAAAGATTACAGCAACCTATTTATAGGTTTTTTTGCACCTAACAACAGTAAAGCTATTTACAGTGCAGTAACTCCATTTATAACTAGTTTTTAAAGCTAAACAAAAGGGGCTAATAAATTTTGATGTAGTAGTTTCTTGAGACAAAATTCTTCCAAATTATCGGCATTCTTTTTCTCGGGATCCTTCTCAAAACTACCGACTTTCTTCTTCATTCCAATACTTCTCAAAATTTTCTTGCAATAACTTGAAATTGAATTGGCCGAATGAGTTTGGTTCTCAACTTTCCCACACATTGAGTCTTTCTACTTCTTGTATTTACATTCTTGAAGTCTACTTGGAAGAGAGCTTTCTTGCATTTTCTTGTAGCCTATGTTCTTGAAGTTCAATCTTTTCACTCCTATGAGAATCTTCTTTAGTGTCATCAAAATAATCTACAACAGACCCATAGAAAAACTCTTCTTCTTTGCTGGAAAAGTTGGATTCTTCAAGCAATAACCCTTAACTTCTGCATTTTTGAGATCTTTCGTGGTGGAGAAAATTCATAGTATTTTCTGTGGACTGGTTCTCCTATTCTTGGTGTTGTCTTGTTGTTAATATAGGTCGCTCTTGTCGTTCTTGATGAAGATTATCGTCCTTTGTATCATAAAATTGCTGCTGGTTGGTTCTAATCAATCGTCTATCTTCCCCCAAATTAAGGATCTCATCTTCCTCACTTGAAGAATCTAGATGTATTTCATCTCTCCTTTGAAACAAGAGTGAGTCTACCTCCTTTTGAAATGAAGAGGTTCTTCCATTTGTCTATCTTTTGCCTTATTTTATCAATAAGAGGATCCCAAAAAGTTTTTTTCTTATAATTGCCACCCAAAGGAATTCCCAGATACGAAAAGGGAAGCCTTTCCACTTTACAGCCAAACATTCTAGTTTTGTCTTGAAGAACATTTTCTTCTACATGAATTCCTATAATAGTCGTTTTCGAAAGATTCAACGACAGCCCCGAAGCCTGTAGGAAAATGTCTAAGATCATCCACCATTTTTCCAACATGTCTATCTCATTTGGACAGAAAATCATCGTATCATCGGCGTATTGCAAGTGAGAGACTTCCACCTCCTCCCTACCAATGCCAAAGCCTTTGATCAGCCTTCTTTGACTACAAAAATGGACCATTCTACTGAAAGAATCACCAACTAAGGTGAAAAGGAAGGGGGAGAGAGGGTCCCCTTGCCTCAACCCTCTTTTGGCAAGAATTTTACCCCGGGGCCGACCATTAATAAGAATAGAAAAATTAGTGGAAGTTAAACAACCCAAATCCATTTTCTCCATCTGGACCCAAAGCCCTTCTGTTCCATGACTACTTCCAAATAAAGCCAATCTACCTTGTCGTAAGCCTTGTCATAATCTAGCTTAAGAACGAAGCCGACCTGTTTCTCACCTCCCAATCCCCAACTGCCTCTGAAGCAATAAGGATAGCATCAATTATTTGACGACCTTCGATGAAAGCAGACTGTGCATCGTGAATTATCATTAGTAAAACTTTCTTAAGTCTTTCCGCGAGCACTTTTGAGATGATCTTATACAAAGATGTTACCAAACTAATCGGTCTGTACTCGCCAACCTTCATAGCCTTCTTCTTCTTAGGGATTAAACAAATATAAGTCTCATTTGTGCACCTATTGATAACCCCATTTCTGAAAAAATCCTGGAACACCCCCAATAAGTCTTGCTTGATAATGTTCTAGGACTTTTTGAAGAATTCATTTGAGAAGCCATCCGGCCCCGGGGACATCAAATTTTCGAGGCTAAAAACAGCTTGCTGAATTTCCTCTATATCGAAGGGTCTCTCCAGGAATGAGGCCTAACTGATAATTACAAAAGACCTTAGTGACCGAACCCCATAAAGAAGTATTATATCTAATAAGTTCCCAAACAAAATCCTCCACTCTCTCCACCCCTCTAAACAGTCTATTATTCCTCTCTAACCAAGTACCCCATAAAATAGCCAGAAAACAAGCCTGCCACAAAAAAGTCTCCTGTCCCGAAAGGGGGGACAGCAGCACCTCCTCCACCAACATCCTCCACTCTCTAGATTAGGCCAAGCCAACCCGAAACATCCAAAAAACCGAAGCCAAATATTCTGAGCAAACTGGCAGGTCTACAGCAAGTGGTCGAGATCTTCCGAGGCATTCCTACAGAGAACACACCATTGCGGACCTATACAAAAGGAAGAAAACCTCTGAATATGATCCATAGTATTGACTTTCGCAAGAAAGGCTTGCCACCCAAAGAACTTAACCTTCTTCGGAATTTTACATTCCTTTTGATATCTTCCATAGTTCCTTCTACCAACAGCAAGCGTTTGGTTGTGGCTCGTGGTGAGAGGGTCGTGGTTTGATCCGCTTCTTTTATGACAAGAGAAGAGTCTCCTATGACATTGGTGGGAGCTTTCTTGCTTGCCATGTCAAAAATGAGCCCAAGAATCTTGGTGATACCAATTGATGAAGACTCAAATTAAGAGAGAATTTAGAAATATTTCATTAGCCTTCAAAGAGATTACAGCAACCTATTTATAGGCTTTTTTGCAGCTAACAACAGTAAAGCTATTTACAGTGCAGCAACTCCATTTATAACTAACAGAGAGCTAATAGAGTTTTTAAAACTAAACAAAAGGGTTGTTAACCAACAACAACCAAACTAAGGCAGTTAGCTTCATCAAACTAACTCACTCACTAGTCACTACATCATATAATCACAAATTTTTTAAGTTGTTATTGCATACATGTGTAAGGCTAAATAAATTTAATTTAAAAATAAATAAAGAAGCACATGCAAAGCATAATTCATAAGTTTACAGAAATACAGGTTTTTTAAATAAGAAATAAGACATTTCAAATGGTTGTGGAGGTTTCCTAAAGAAAAAGAAGCTCTTAGGAGGCAGGTTGTTGTAAATTCACATTGCGGTACTAAAAATAATGTTTTTGCCCAAGTAGATTGATGGTTGGATCAACGAAGTGTTGTATGGGCGGCTTGTAAAGGGCAAAGCAAAGACATTATGGAGCTGCGTTGTTAGAGCTTTTTTTATGGAATTGATGGAGAAATCGAAACAATAGAGTTTTTGAAGGAACCTCCTCTAATATAGATAGGTTTAGATATGGTGTACAGTTTACGACATCTCTTTGGTGCCTTAAACACAAGGATTTTTTTTTTAATTACAGCTTATCTTCGATTCTCCATGAATGGAAAGTGATAATTTATTAGTTTTTCTAGGAGGGGGTCCTCTCATCCTCTACTCTTAGGCTGTTTTATCATTGTTTTGTTTCATTGATATATCTGTCTCTTATCCAAAAAAATAATAATAAAAAAAAGACATTTCAAGATGGTATGAAATTACAAACACAATGTGAAAACAGCATGTTTTAGAAAAAGCCAGCCCAGGTGTTGTCTGTTTTTTTAAGCCCAACCAATTCTATAACATACACCTCTATTTATGTAATCCACAGTATGTCACTTTAACGATTCCTAAAATGAAAGCTTAACAAAGGTAAAAATTGCACATATCCAAGTCAAAAGTCCAATTTGATTAAATTGAAAGTTTAGAATAAAAGACTTACTTTGTCAAGGCTTAGGAGTAAAAACTGAACTTTTACTCAATAATTAAATAAATGATTAGATTAAGAAGAAAAAAAGTTCAGGGCCTCAAGAGGGGTCGAGCACGAAGATCCTCTTTCCTTACATTTTCATCCTTCTATCAAATACCTCCAACTGTGTTCAGAATAAATACTCAAGAATTTGGTGTCTTAATCAGAAGTTATCGGATTGCATATAACATGTAGCTGCATTGTTACTTTAAAGGTTAAATTAGTGAAATGAATAGGAGTTTGTCATCCAACTAAAACTAGAGCCAAGCCACAAAATATCAAAGGATGTATCCATTACCATTTACATTGGTCACTACACATTCTACCAAAAATGAACCAAAAATAAAGAAGAAAAGAGGGAGCGTGGATAATTAACCAAATAGAACAGATAGAGCAAATTCCTACAATTGTGCTTCCAATATTTTGAGTGAAATCATTGAACGAAAAAGAGATGGCGAGAGAATCACCTGGTAACAAGTAACGGGGATTTCAAGGGTAGCGGCGGAATTGGGGGCTCTGTCATGAACGGTGGGAGCATGAGCTTGGGAGTTGGTTTTGGAATCAATGCCGACAGCATTCAATCTCCAATTCCAAAAGGCGTGGCGAGTGGTAAGAAAATCAGCCGCCTGCCTCGAATGCGAACCAATTAAATCCCCAGAACCGGCAAAACCCTTATAAATCTTAGCCTCTTTGTGAACCCAATTGCTCGGAATGGTCGGCAATGCGCAGGATAAAGCCATAATTCAATCTGCATTTGTCATTTGGACATTACAAAGCTTAAAACTTACGAATGAATAAACGAATCCGAGTTCATAGACGCGCAGGAGGAAGGCTCGTCGATGAAGATTTGAAGAAACATCTGCCTTTTGAGCCCCAACACTTCATTGAATTACCTTCGCTGCTCTTTTATGGCGAAATTTTCTGTTTCGCTTTGCTGCAAGACTTAGCTTGTAGCGAGCATTTGCATTTGTTCCTCTTTTCTTTTTCTTTTTCTTTTTCTTTTTCTTTTTCTTTTTCTAATTTGCACAAACATAAAAAGATATGGAGTTTTCCTTTTTCTATTAAAAAGTGAATAAATAGCACGTTAACGTTTAAAATGGGTTTTTTGCTTTTTGAGAGAATTTTTTCTTAATATAACAGGTGGGTGACGTGAGGTGGAAGACTCGAACTTACCTCACGGCTGGCTTAAGCTATAGACGAGCGAGGCGACCGCCTGAAGGCCCCGTTCTAGGAATACCTCATATTTTATCCATAATACATAATATTGGTATCTATCTAATTTAATTTTCAATTATAAATTAAATTTAAATATAAAATAATTTACTCATTAAATTTTATAATTTTTTATAATATTGAAAATACATCCTACTAAAAAAATCTACAATTAATAAATTCATAAATTTATCTCAATTTTGATTGGCTTATATTTCAAAATTTGTTAACATCTTTTTATTCGTGTTACTTTCAAATTTGTTTAAAAATATCGACCCATTAATATAAGCTCCCAAAATTCTCCCAAGATTAAGTTGGGAGAGTGGGAGACCTCCAGTATTTCTTTATCTTTTTATTTATTTTTTTAACGATCAAAACTTTTCAACTTATCTAAAAAGACTTCATAAATATATTACTCTCAAATCTCATCCCCCATCCCCCTCTCTCACCTCCAATCACTCTCAAATCTCAAATTCTCATCTTGCTCTTCGTGGTCTCAAGAGATTATCAATTACTAGAACATAAATTGAAGCTTTTTATTTCCTCAACTAAACTTACCGGCTTCAAAATTTCAAGTTTTTTGTTCAAATTCTTTTACTTTTTTCATAAATTATTTCATATTATTGATGGCTCAAAATCTAATATACGAGATTTGTTTAAATTTGCTTACTTAGAATATATTCTAAATATGTGTATAAGAAAATATGAATCTGGATATGAAAGCTAAAAAAAAATAATAGTAGAAAAAAATTGAACCTAAAAAAGGTGCTCCTAGACAAATCAAGAGACGAACTTTTTAAAATTAAAATTAATCATATTTAAAGTGAGCTATGCTACAAGAGAGATTAAATGCATTGGTCATATTGTCTATTGAAAATGATATATAATGAACTTATATAATCAAAATTTAATACATAATTTTGCATCCCAAAAAGTAAGAAAAATAAAATTTATATGATATTTTCCATATTAAAACCTCTAAATTAAAATTTTGCCTAAGACCTCGTATAATCTCGAGCTGCCCCTGACTTAACTTATGACCTTCTAATCAAGTGTTGAGTTAAATTCATGGTGGGTTAAGATAAAGAAATTTGAAAAGGAGATTGAACTAAAATATTAAAATAAATGGTTTAAATATTTTCACTTTGGTTCGTTTTTGTACCTATAGTTTCAAGATGTTGAATTTGATCCCAATTTTTGTTCATTTTTGTTCTTGTATTTTTTTGTTTTATTTTTTAAAAAATTACTAATTTGGTCCTATTTGAACATTTTTAACACAAATGTTGTAAACTTTAGCATACAAATTTATGACTATATTTAAAAAAATTTAGTGAGTAAAGTATAATACTAAAATTATGCTCAAAATAACTAAGATAAAAATGAGAATGAAAGTATTGAAATGTTCACTAAGATAAAAATGAGTAAAATATTAGGGTAATTTAAGTGAACGTTTAAAATTGGACACCATTTTATTAAAAAATGGCCAACAGTATCACATTTTGCACAAAGAGCTAAACTAGGAGATTTAAAATTTGAGGATCTTCCAACTTTGCCCTTAAATCTATTTTCGTCCTTACTCATTTGAAATCAACTAACATAGATTTATTTCTCATATTTAAAGGATTTAATTGATTTGATTTTATATATCCATCTTTTAAATTTTAGTCTTAAGGTGATCTCTCATACCTTTTACCCGTGCAAAAACCAATTGAACAACCAATTGTATCTTAGACAAGAACAAATCAGTCAAACCAGAAATTTGTTTTAGCATATGTAATTTCCTACAAATTAGGCTTTGTCATGATTGCAAAAGCTTCATGTATCTACTACCCTTGGCTTGGGCATGAATTGAGCTTAGTTTTATTCAATTTTCTTTTTGTTTGCTTTTCCCTTAGTCTTATTCAATTTTCTTTTTGTTTGCTTCTCTTTCTCCCAGTCTCATTCTTGTTGAAGTTTGCAACTTAGCCCTTGAAATTACTTTCCCCTTCTTTAGTTCTTTATTATAGGTCACGATTGTGACCACAAATCATAGGAACAAGTTAGTTATGGAAGACATTATAAGTATCGTCATTGTAGATACCAACATTTATCCCAAGATGAAAATGCAACACTAGTACAAACCACTACAGATATTGATATTTACCTCGAAATGGAAGTACGACACCTAAAGCAGGCCACTATAGATACCGATATTGACCCCATAAATGGAAGTACAGACTACTAGATATACTGACATTTCGCATAAAAGAAAGTGCGAAACAAACCACTGTAAATATTGATATTGACCTCATAAATGAAGTGTATACCACAACTCACTAGTAATTATACGTGTATCTATTGATATATACAGTGTGCATATGTTATCAAAGCGATTACCGTTTGGCAATAGTTAATTCTATATTAATTACATTTCTATATGATGGTAGTTGAGACCATAACAAATCACTCAAACCATGACTTTTAAGGTGTTTGAGATCAATGATGTGAACGCATGGAAATCTGTTTTACTATCGGTAGTTTCCTACACATTTGGCCTTGTCATGATTGCAAAAGCTCTATAATATTTATTACCTTTGGCTAGGGCATGGATTGGGGTTAGTCTTATTCAATTTTCTTTTTGTTTGCTTTTCTTTTAGTCTTGTTTAATTTTCTTTCTGTTTACTTCTCTCTCTCCCCTTCCCATTCTTGTTGGAGTTTGCAACTTAGCCCCTGAAGTTACATTCTCCTTATTTTCCCTTCAAGTTCTTTATTATAGGTCACAGTTGTGCTCACAAATCATATAAACAAGTTAGTTGTGGAAGATATTATAGGTATTGCCTTTGTAGATACCAACATTTATCTCAAACCGAAAATGCAACACTAGTACAGACACTGTGATATTGACATTGACCTCGAAATGGAAGTGTGACACCCAATGCAAACTATTGTAGATGCCGACATTTACCCTAGAAATGGAAGTGCAGACTACTATAGATACTGACATTTACTCAATAAATGGAACTGCGACTCCAGTGTAGACCACAACTCACCATCAACACATAAAAGAAAGTGCAACACATATCACTGTAAAATATTGACATTGACCTCATAAATGAAGTGTAGACCACAACTCACTGGTAATTATACGTCTATTGATATATACAGTGTGCATATGTTACTAAAGCAATTACCTGACAAGACGATTTCACGTGACAAGGTATGTTTGATTTGATTTTATTTCATAGTTGTATAGACCCATTAAATATATTTACCTCTCCCACCTAGAAATTTTAAATTTTACATTTAAGACTTTAACTTAGAAATTTATAAATTTTAAATGTGTGTAAAAATTTGAATAAATTTTTATTTATCTACTTTTAATTTTTAAATTAGATTTTAATTGTTTAAATTTGATTATTTAGAATTGATTTCTACCATTAGGACGCGTTGTTTTTGCAAGTTGTTGTACCAAATAAAATCCCTAAAATTAAGCATGTTTGGGGGTAAAAATACCTCGGACACGTGGAGGACGCTTACTGGTGTTCAAGGATTAAGTGTCCCAGGTCCACCTCAAACCTGCCAAAGATGTCGGGTTCACCCATTGGGAACAGGCTAAGTATACATGCCGAAGTCCGATCTAATTGGGGTTCGATCTACTCGGAACCCGACAGGTCCGACATGAGAAAAAACATGTAACTGCTGGTCGTGTGTACTGTCGGATCCCCCACCTATAAATAGAGGACCTCATTTCACGCTCAGGTATCGAATCTCACCTCGAACTAAATACGAAGTCCGACCTATACTGACTTGAGCGTCGGAGTGTCTACTCTCTTGTGCAGGTCCACTCTTGTGTTCAGGTCAAACCGGAGACCGGGTTCGAGCTAGGTTCGTAAAGTGTCGTTGTGCAGATCATTGCATAAACATTTGGCGCCGTCTGTAGGAAAAAGAAAAAAAGACAATCTAAGTCATCCCGATTTAAAAGCGCGAACAAAAATGGTTCAGCCAGCAAACTCAACCAACACAGCCGACCGAAGAGCTCTAGCGGCCAATGATGGCCACCAGAGGGAGGTCGGGGCAGAAGTGGTAGAGGGACAGGTTCATGAAGGCCTGGGGACAGAGCCTCTCCGCAGGTTGGCACGCATCACCATGCCTGTTCTGCTGTCAACACATCCAAAGCCATCCAAGGCCAATCGCGGCCGAGGTGGAGCTTCGAAGAGAACCACTCAGGGACCAGCCCCAGCTCCAACAAAGGAAAATTTTGATGCACTCCAGAAAGAAATGGAGGCGATGCGCACTCAAATGCGCACCATGGAACAAATGTACAACGAGATGGTGCAAGCCGCAGATGCTGGGTCTCGATCTGAAGATCGAGTGGCACGCGGCGAGGTGCGCGAGCGCAGAGGTCTTCACCTCGGACCAGTCGAGGAAGAATGCCCTGGAGGAGATGAAGATGAAGAGTACACTCATCAGAGGGGTGATCTCCTCGAGCATCTCAACAGAAAGAGAAGCTCGTCCCTCAGAAAGGGACGATCTCCGTCTTGCTCGCACAAGAGCTCCAACCAGCAGGCCGAGTCCTCCTACAACCCAATAACTCCCGAGGAAGTGATCACAAGGGAAGAGTTCGACCAGCTAAAGAGCAAGTTCGATGCTCAGGTTGAAGCCTTGAAGGCTAGGTGCGAGAAAAAAGAAAATTCATTCGATGATGGCCACCTGGGAGAATCGCCATTCACTTCGGACATCCTGGAGGCTCCAATCCCTCCGAAGTTCAAAACTCCCACCATAAAGCCTTATGATGGGTCTAAGGACCCAAAAGACTATGTTGAGGTCTTCGAAGGCCTCATGGATTTTCAGGCGGCAACAAACGCAAACAAGTGTCGCGCCTTCCAGATCGCACTCACCGACAGCGCGCGCTTATGGTATCGAAGACTGCCGGCTAGGTCGATCTCGACCTACTCACAGCTGAGGAAAAAGTTTATCAATCAATTCTCTTCTCGGAATTATGACAGAAAGACAGCGACTCACCTCGCCACCATCCGGCAGAAGGAAGGTGAGACGCTGAGGGAGTAGGTCACAAAGTTCCAGGAGGAGCAGTTGAAGGTTGTGCACTGCTCCGATGACTCGGCCATGTGTTACTTCCTTACCGGCCTGGCCGATGAGACCCTCACCGTGAAGCTCGGAGAGGAGGCACCGGCAACCTTCGTCGAAGTCTTACAAAAGGCGAAGAAAGTCATTTATGGCCAGGAGCTCCTCCGAACCAAGACTAGTCGGCTTGAGAGGCAGATCGACCAGAAGAAAACAAACCAAGAGAGGAGGAAGGTTGATTCCAAATCAAAGGACAAGGGATCGTCCTCTTCCGGCGGACGAACTGAGTATCGTAGGTCGAAGATCGGCCCCAGTCGAAGCCGACTTTACGAGCGTTATACTCCAACCACCATCCCCATCTCTGAGATACTTACAAACATCGAGGAAAATGGGATGGAAAATCTCCTCAAGCGACATGAGAAGCTCCAAGGAGACCCACAAAAGCGCCATAAGGATAAATATTGTTGTTTTCATCGCGATCACGGCCATAATACATCAAATTGTTGGGAATTGAAGGGCCAAATTGAAGACCTCATTCAAGATGGCTACTTCAAAAAATTTGTTGGAAAACCAAGGTCCAACTCAGTGGAGAAGAAAGAAGAGAGAAAGCGTTCAAGGACGCCACCTCGTCGAGATGATCGACCTGCGATCATCAACACTATTTTCGGGGGCCAGTCTGGAAACAAAAGGAAAGAGCTAGCTCGCGAGGCCAAGCGCGAGGTATGCATCATCAGGGACCAGAAACCGACTTGTTCCATTACCTTCGACGATACCGATCTAGAGGGGGTCCATCTGCCCCATAACGATGCACTTGTGATCGCCCCCCTTATCGATCATGTCCTGGTCAGAAGAGTATTGGTAGATGGAGGCGCGTCTGCCAACATCTTGTCCCTCCCTACATATCTGGCCTTGGGATGGACCAGGTCTCAGTTGAAGAAGAGTCCAACACCCTTGGTTGGATTCTCTGGCGAATCGGTCTCTCCAGAAGGGTGTGTCGACTTACCGGTTACAATTGGGCAAGATAGTACACAAGTAACTCAGATGGCCGAGTTCGTGGTGATTGACGGCAGATCGGCCTACAATGC